AAAAAAAAAAAAATGTTACATATTTATATAAAAAACAGTGGACCTTATTTGACATATTCTAGCTGTCTCTCCTACAATTACATAATATACATGCACACATATACCCATAAATCTATCTGACTGCATTGACCTACCATATATGCGCTCTTACTATATTTACAACCAAAAAAAAATCTCTAGAACCCTAGCATTTCTTTCCAACCACAACATCCACAGATCAGTGAAATAACCAGCTCTAGAAAACATTGGATAGGCCCAGTTTATTTTGTTCAGAGTTATACAAGGATATAATTACTCCGCCAATCTTCTCTAAGCCTTTGGAGAAAAAAGGTTTCTTCAGTTCTTAGGCTAACCAAACTACTTATCCCAATTATAAAAAAAATTAAGAATATCTTAATTTCCTTTCCAAGAAAGACAGCAGCCAATGTATGTTAACAAATAGTGCATGAAGCCTCTAGATGCAAGATAGAATCCCTTCAATTTTATCTTTAAAAAAAGATAGAATCCCTTCAAAATAACTGAAATTTAGATTTGTGTTGACAAAGATGTGACCATTACACAAGCATATTTGTTCAAAAAGAAAAGATAGCAGTTTCAGGGATAAGGAGAATACTAAGTGTACCTTTTGCATATCATACCCACAATCACCTGCATATTGAAAAAAAAAAAACTTGATTAGTGGTGCCATACATCCCTTCCATGAAGATTAAAATATTCACAATATTACCACAACAATTCATAAAAGACCAATAAAAAATATGTTTGAATGATAAAGACTAACTACTGTCAAATTTTTCAGTAGCTATTGTTTTGTCTTATACAATATTTGGTTAGCTCAATCATAATGCCTGTCATTTATTTGCTAGATGATGAACTACAAAATTTCTTCTTCTTTCTTTCATAAAGTATTTGCATTGTCGGATCATTAATCCTAATCCTAGTTCTTCACAAACAATTCTTATGCACAATTGCTTACAGGACACCCTGTTGATTTTTCTTACTACTAGACCTTTAAGAACTTCATGAGAATTGATGAAAAATGATAGATATGGTACTTAATTGCGAGCTTGCTACTTGAGCTGATTTTCTAGCTCCTCAGAATATACTAACACATTAGCTTTCGAACAACATTCATATCACTCTCATAATTACTTACTTTTACAATTAGGAACATCCTAAAGATCAGTGGAAGGCTATTTCGAAATCCCTCAGCTATTTTGGCCGGTCGCTTACATGGAAAGAGTTCATGCCCTTTTGTTTGTTAAGGAGTAGGATCAAAATAAAAAGAAAAGACAGAATAGAAGGACAACTACATAGTTATTAGCCACTGTTATAAGATACTAAGATCCTTATTCACCCTTCCACCTCATCAGAAGCAGTCATATGTAATAGTTTTCCACATACACCTTAATGTGTGGAAAAGAAAAACTAAAGTATCAGCGTTGTAGTTGTTTCAAGGAACTTTCTGACAATACAAACTACATGCAACAGAAACACTTTTTAACACAGATACTTAAACAACTTCAAATATAGTAAAGTATGATGAGAAGGTAAAAATTTAAGTATGTAAACAGAAGCTAGATATCTCAAGTTAATTTTAACAGGGGACAAATTGAAACACAAGAAAGATAGTAATCAGTAAAGAACAAAAACATGTGAAGTTTGGCTTACCAAGGACTTGTCTGATTACATTCCTATCCAGCTTGAATCCATACCCAAGCATATTCAACAGAAAATCTTCCATATCCTTGTGCAAATTGTTTCCCTTTGCCGGCTTCAAGTTATCATTTTCCATCCAAATTTCAGACATAGGCAACTCCTCCTGATCCAATTTCAATGGTTTGGTTACCATTTGAGAACCATTAGCACAATGTATTGAATTGGATCTAGAATAATCTTTAAGAACACTCGAAATAGTGCCTCCTGAAACCGGACGCCATTTTTTCTTTGGAATGCTCGACTTTTCATTTGGAAATGAACTCTCAGGAATATCACCATTTGATGATTTGGAAGATTTTTCATTTCTCATCCCAACATTAGATGCAGGAGTTGAAGAACTGGTGTTTCCCTGCATCTTATACAGAATTTTACCAGCCATATCAGCATTTTGACCTGCCTTGCAATAAGCAGAAGCTATCTCCTCTAGAGAAAAATTAGATCCAAATGCATCAAGCAAAGCTTGCAACGCCTTTTCCTCGTCTCCATGGGATAATCCATTAGGATTAGATATTTCCATCCTAAATATCCTTCACAGCACCAAAAGGAGGGAAGCTCAACACATTAACTTGGGAAAAATGAAAAGAGAAAATTCAATGGAGGAATTGAACATTTACACAAATGCAATTCATACATCTACATATCACCACCCGGGAGAAAAAGTTATGGGGAATAAGCCTAGGAGAAAAATGTAACAATAAGAGAAAAGATGCACCATGCAATATATGTAACGATTATCTAACATGATGATGCAAACATGCAATTAGGATTCAAAGAAAATTTTCATTATAAAGAGTATGTGCCCCAAATCTGAAATTAAGCATGTTACAATGCTGCAAATTTATGAAAAAAAAAAAAGTCATAAATATGCAAAGCCTAAAACAGACCTCAAGTGAAAGTAAAATATGCCTCAATTGTCAAATAATCAATAAATCATTTAACTTCAAAACTAAAAGAGTTTAAACTCCTCAAATAAAATGATCTTCCAATCTAAATCCAAAATACAACTAATATATTTTAATTTCTAAATCAAAATCCTCAATCACTCACGCGTCCCTCACCATGTACAACTTATTCCTCAAAATTTATAGGAAACTGGAGTGAGCTCACAACCCAATGAATAACAGAAAAAAACCAAACTAATTGGATCAAGTATATTTGAACAGTTAGATAATAATAGCTGTAATATATTGTAAAGCAAATACAGCAATAAACAATTAACTTTATCAATTATATTTAAGATAAATGCATTAAGTTTTGTCAAACTTCAAATAAAAATTAATTAGTCCTTAACAGTTACAACTATATTACATCTCTGTGACAAATTCTAGAACCATATTTAACCTCCATGATATAGGTAATACATATATCTTTGTATCAAAACCCACAAGAAACATGTTCTCGATATTACTTACTATTATTTACCCAAATTGGCAATGTCATTTAAGAAGTAGACCGAGTTTTAGAACAATTTATAGATATGTTCTTATACTCATCGAAAGTAAATAACTTCATTGTATTTCAAATTTCCAATTTATCTAAAGATAAGTTTGACCCAAAATATATACCCAAAACAATAAATTAGAGACATATGTATTCCGAAGAGAATTTGTATAATTAGTAAATAATATTAAAACTACTGAACAATTAGAGATTTTAATAATATTCAAAATATTTTTTTAAATATCATAAAACACTAAAATAGCTTAACGACTACTCACATGTAATGCCAATTTATCCAAAATTTTCAAAAATGTTAAAATTTCTTTAAAGTTCTATTCATTCAAAATATCAAATAAATA